GAAAAAAAGTAGTCTAACAAGAACACAAAAGACAATTTTTACAGTTAGCATTAATCTTGCTATCAATATCTAATCATCTGATTTGTTTTTTAAAGGATTCAAAAATTTCAGCATTACGTAACTTTTTTACAAAAAACTTACTTGAAACTTTATGAAAAACTTCATAGTGGTGATTGGCTATCATAATAACCCCGCCTAAACCGCGAACTGAAATTGTTGAGSGTGTCAATAACGTAATTAACGAAACGACGCACGAGCTACTCAAAATATAAGAAAAAAACTCAGCAGACAGCAACAACAAAAAGAAAACAAATTAAAAAACAAAGCAAAAAGCAACGAAACGCAGCGCAGCGAAACGAAACGAAACAAAACAAACGGAATTATAAAACGAAATAAAAGCAAGCAATTCAAACAGGATAGTGATTCTTTCTTTGCTAGACTGATTTCTTATTGCTTTGTGTTTTGTAGAACGAGACGGTTGGTCTGTATCTGCTAAAAAATGTTTAAAGAAAGCAAAAGTAGTACAGAGTTTATCTGCATTGGATGTTTCTGATTGTATTAAAGGCTGTATTGACATGAACAGCAAGCTTAGAGTTGGGTAAGTACGTAAACAAACACAGGATTATTTCCAAGCAGTCTTTGATGCATTGATGTGATTTGTAAATGAAATAAGCACTCAAGGATATTTTAAGAAGACAATCACRATGACATAACGTTAGTTTGAAGAGCTGTATAGAGTGACAAAATAACAAATAAAACATAAACATAACTTCAATATGACAAGCCTAATGGACCACTGAAGCTTTTACGTCGCCTTCGTGATTTGCAATAATTTAAGGGATCAGTTTCTAGAGAAAAGAAAAGAAATTTACCATGTTTTGTCACACACATATCCCACAATGCATTGCGTATACGGTAAATAACGCGAAAGCTTCACAGGTTTAAATAAAATTGGGATCGAAATGACACACTTGTTTTGGCAAATTGCATCATGGTACTGTTTAAAAAATCAAGATGGCGGTTGTCTTACTCGAAGAGGACGAAGTTTCCTCTCTTAAAACGGTATCCAATTTAGAGAATATACCTTTTCAGTTGATCTTAAGCCTCGATATCAAGTTAATTATTCTTTTGAATTTGCTAATTGAGACTATTCTTATCAATGTGTGCATTGCTCACATACCTACAAATTCAAAAGAATATTTAACATGTTGTAGAGGCCTAAGAGCAACTGAAAAGGTGTATTGCTTTGAAAATGTTTCCCTGCACATCACTGAGCATACTCGAAGGCCTGTATGAGAAATAAGCAATGTTGAACATACAAACTGTAAATAAAAACCACGATGAAAATTAAAGAATCATAATATAACAGACATCAAGTAAGCATTAATAAATCGCCCAATGAAACGGAATCTGGAGTGTTCAGGATTCAAGGATTACAAGATAAGCCAGGATTCCGTTTCCAGTGCCGTGGATTCCATATTCCAAGTCGAGATTCTGAATTCCACAGAGCCAAAATTGTCTCGGATTCCGGATTTCGTGTCTTTGGGCGAAATAGGTCTTAACTTGTCCAGTAAGGCCCCACATCTCACCAAAATGTCTATCTGTCTTATACAGGTGCAAATCGTTTGAGTTCACTCCTGACAGCTCTGGTAAGTTAATGGGATCTTGTAAACTGTACGACGTCAGCAAGAACCATGGTGGGGCTGAACTCAAAGACTGCTCCTCGTGGTACATGGACCTTAAAGACCTCTCCGCATGGGCCCTATCAAATGATGTTCCTCCACGTACGTCGGGTYTCATACTGCTGGTCTTGAATCTGTTTTTTGTCGTATTTTTACATATTTGAACAATTATAATGCGTGAAAGGATCAGTCCCCTTAGGGCCAGTGCTCTCACTAATTTCGAAGTGCTAAGTGTCCACAAAAGCTTCTATTATTTAACAATTAGACCTCGAGGTCGAGTGGACTTCGAGCTAATAGCCCATGAGGCCGAGTCCGCGAGGCCGAATGGGCTACTAGCTCGTAGTCCACAAGGCCGAGAGGTCTAATTGTTTTAGTATAAACATACTAATCGGTCAAATAATGAAAACAAATTGAAATATCCTTAAAATAATTTATTAATGAGATTGATTTTCCCGCGAGTGGTCTATCTATCACAAATTAAACCATTAGTAGAGTAGCCAATCACAGCGCAGTATGAGTGATAGACCATTAATATGTTTATACTAAAAGTATRTATGTAGCTATAGACCTCTTTACGTTACCTAGGTGATTTGCAATACATTTTGGGGTGAGTTTATGGCGAAAACAAAGGAAATCCGCCATGTTCTGTCCCAAACATRTCCTACAATGCATTGCGTATTCGGTATATGACGTAAAAGCTTCAGAGGTCTATTTCAAATCAGGACATTGGTGATAACGGCGATTGCATTGTCACTGGCCTCACCTCTATAAATCTAGAACAATGGATACTAGGTCTTCACCTCTCTCAGAACGAATTCTTTGATTCGCCGTGTCGTTTTTGAAAGGACAATGACAATTTTTGTCTTTTGCTTTTTTCTTTTGTGTTGAACAAGCCTATTAGATTACATCTTTTGAGAGGTGAAAGCACATCCACAAGAATAGTGTAAATAAATTGAAATTGAATTGTTGGAAGACCATTGTATAGTCAAATTAAAACGAATTATAACCATCCGAATATAGCATAATTATTGTAGCTTAATCAAGGACATTATCAGTCTGAAGCCGACCCCTACTAGCCAATAGTCCAAAGTCTTCTGTTCTTGCTGCAGCACTGACCCTATACTATATATAGTACATTGTGGAGAATACAGTTCCAAGCGCCATCTTGAAAGGCAACCAAGGCTTTGCATCAAAACGAGACAGGTGGTGAGCCTGCAGTGGTAGATACCTTTTGTTCACAACTAGGACAATTATTCATGGGTATCTATCATTGCTGGATTAACTGCTGTATCGCTTTGACTCTAAGGCGCTACCTTTCAAGATGGCGCGGGGACGCMGTTGCGTAGACTATTTTTCTTAATAATTCAACAATTTTTCCTCCAATCTCATTGGTGGAGCTTTGAGCACGTGACACGATATTGCCCGCCACTGATGCGTGCTATCATTGTATAGACTTTGCGCACTTGAAAAMTAGCCTCTTGAATGATCACTTTGAAATCAGCACCGTCGGTAGATGAAAGCAAGCAGAAAGCGTTTTTACTTCGGTTAAGTCTGAGGCGAATTGTAACTCCGTTTAAAATCAGACSATCTTGTTGAAAGATATCTTGATGTATCTGTATCATGAGCTCAACCCCTGCAATAAATGGAATCGTTTATGCAATCCCAAGYTTCTTCAAGAACCATCTGCCAAAGGATCAACATTGTCAAACTTTCAARTAAAAATAGCTTGCTTTGAAGGTGCGAGGTCTTGCCATCCGTCCCATAAGATAAGAGGTTAGTAATCATAGCTCTGAAAGGATTGGTGTTTGTGGAGGATGAGATCAGTTTATCGTTCAATGTAACATCGATTCCTGCTATCATACAATTAGCCAAATCGTTCGTCATCCCCTAAGTTTGTKCCGCTAGCTTTGGTAACTTTAAAGAATCATAACCAACCGCCGTGCCTAGCGAGGCGAAGCGCCATTTTAGGTGGACACGAAAATGGCGGATTCGTAGGATTTCTTAAAGTGAGCGCGAATCGTCTTCTGTCCTTTCAGTTTGGACAGAAATACCTTTAACTAAGTACCTCACAGCTACTAAAAATCTGTAATCTATTTTATGCTTGACGCATTTAAACGTATGTAAACAATAATACGAGCACGCAAGGTACGGCGGTTGGTTATGATTCTTTAACTTTGAAGTAAAGCCAAGAACCTCAAGTCGGTAAATTAATCACCGCACCCCGTGATGCAAAATTAATTCTATCGGTTCTGAATCTCCATGTTTTCCGTCTCTTGGCTGGAGCACGAGTGGCAGACTTTGGTTTTGCTTTCCTTTTTATAGGCTTACGACCTGCTCATTTTTGTGCTTGCGATGCATTCTGGGTAGTGAGGGAACCAATAGCCTTCTTTCCTCTTTTCATCACCGAATCACCAGGATTTTGTCCGTTAAGAACATCTTGGGCCACCGCTAAGCCTTCTTTGAGTGCACGCTGACCGACAGCTTTCATTCCCGAATGAAAATGGGGAACAGCCCAGCGGAACAATCCTCGAGAGATAGAGCCCAGTCCATAAACGCGCTGAGCCACGCCTCCATGAAATGTGTCATAAAATGATCACTAAATCACAAATCCCTCCCCTTTATCAACAAGAATCGTGTGCATTAATTATTTTTTATTCAAAAAAAAAACAAAAGGGAATTACAACGATTGAACTGCACTAGCTGGAACCCAGGAATTAAACTTATCGGCGCATCCTCTCCACTTTGGATCATGTTCCTTTTGCGCTTTTTAATCACTTTTTCAATGTGATATACATCGTCCTCTTTTTGAAYTTTCTGTAGCTTTTGCTCGTAAAAAAAACTCCCCCTAACACCTCATCCTGTTGATTTTTGATGTGATAGACCGTCTCCTTGTTGGTATCCGCTCGCTGACGATAAATATTCTCTGCTCCACGAACGGCGACAGCACGACCGAAAGTAGCCATGGGTTTTGCTAGTTGAAAGTCAATAAAAGTGATTTATACTGTAAGATGGTCTGTGGTAAACAATGGCTCCATTTAGTCTTCATTTCTATGTAAGGTGAATCCAATACGTGAAATTTTGTTTATCAGAGTGCGGTTCAATCGCTCGATCGCCGAGGCTTTGGTTAGACTATTAGTCAGAAAAAAGTTAACATTTTTACTCTTGAGATAATTCTGAASCGTGCGGTTAAGAAATTCAGTTCCGTGATCCGATTGTAGCTTGGCGGGAATCCTGCCTRTTTTGAATATTTTCATGAGCACCTGCMTGAGTTCTTCGCCACACTTTGTCTTGAGCGGTATAGCAAAGCCWTATTTTCATAGAATATYGATGACGGTTTAAAGATAACGATAGCCCTTGTTAACTTTGCTCAACGGGCTCAGGTCAWCTAAATCAGCTTGAAATTGATCATCTTTACCGCCTACAATGAMTCGATTKCTTTGATAGGAGCGTGGYGCAGGTTTGTGTAAAGTATAGGTTTCCAGTTTCTCTAGACAGTCATTGACTTGATTGAGCGTGATTYTCTTCTTCCCTTRTCAGTCTCTTGCAGCATGCACAACAGCCACCGGACCCGAAAGTCTTGCTGCGCTTTGGAGGTTGTAATGAAGMTTTCTCAGAATCTTTTCCATCGCCGCATTCGTGACTSTCAACARCACTTGCACCACAGCAAGCCSAATTACAGTGAATTCGCGTACTTATTTGTTTAAGGGCGACTTGCAATGGAGCAGGAAGAAAATTCATGTTCGCTCAGAGCAGATGAAGCAAATGAATTCTTCACTAATGTATATACATGCTTTATATAACTGGAGTATTGGTCCACCATGCATTAATTTTTTGAATATGTCTGTCCCTAGGATTATTCTGAGCATAGCGAGGAAATGATTAGCAAATAAATATTTACAATAAAATCACTAAGATTTGTTAAATGTTTGAAAATCGGAATCAAATGACCACATTTTAAAAGCAATTTGTAAAAATTCTCCCCCTGCACTTTGACAGATGCGACAATGTGTGACGCCCACTCCTATTCTTTAGGGACGGTCCATTTAAYTTTTGGGGGGTGGATGATTTCTTGTGGGCAAGATTTTTTTTTCTTCGTGGCTTTTGGGTATGATATATATTTTTTCCCTTGGTGGTGTGTAGGATTTTTCTTCTTCTTGTATGTAACATTTTTGGGGGCTTAGGGTTGTGCAAGATTTTTTTTAGGTCCATATTTAGTGCACGATTTTTATTTTGGGTTAAGATGGCTTGCAGGATATTTTTTTTCAAAATCATCCACCCCCCCCCCCCCCCCCCTCAAAAGTTAAATGGACCGTCCCTTAAAATGGGATATGAGAATGGGATAGAAAGATTCTCATTATGTAATCATTCTACAGATTCTTATCCCAGGRTATGAATCGGAGTCCGCGAATACCGAAGAAAAATATTGTGGAATACGGAATATTGAAAAGAGAAATAYGGAATTACAAAATGTTTGAGGTTTATATAGAAGGAAGAATTAAGAATAGTATTAAAACACTGTGGAATAGGATTACTTGTCATTGACAGCACTGGACTACGGAATACTCATCGCAGAAATTTTTTTTTTTCAAACCCTCGATTCTTATCCCGTTCACTGTGTTATTTCATTCCGCATTTGGAAAACAGCTAAGATAGGAATACTGAGGTGCTTCCTGCTTCTGTTATGTCAAGTTTCATGAAAATCATATCAAATTTCAAAGTTGAGTTTTGCGATCTCAAAATACTGTATAATCAGCCTCAATTGTACGTAAAATATGAAGACATTTAGACAAAACTCGTGAGATTTCGAACTATTTATTCCGTTGCCTTCTATACCCATACATCTCTTGATCATTTGCAAGGGCTGTTACTGAATAAATGTGTACATGATTTTGAGGCTAACCGGTGTAAAAGAGATCGCTAAAAGTTTTTTTTTTTCATTATTTTCTTTCTAGTTTTCGGCGGTTTAGCCACGATTTCTTCAGGGACTATTAGATATTTTAAGATTAAAATTAATTAAAATTAAAATTAAAATTGATTTTTCAGAGAGTTCAAGTGAGGTTATTTAAAAATCGTTGAAAATTTATAAAAGCTGAAGTCAAGATATAATTGCCAAAAAGAAAACAAGAATAACAGGAACAAAAACCCTAAAAAAAAATCAAATGATAAAAAATAGAAAAACAATAAAAATAAAAAATAAAAAATAATAAAGAACAAAAAAAAAAACAACTAATAATAATAAAAGAAATCCTCATAATGAAAGCAACCATTCATAGCCTACAAAGCTAGGTAAATCAATGAGGGACCAGAATTATAGGAGATACATTACCTTCTAATCAGGATGACTAATTTTTTTATTGATCTAAAAAACAATTTAAGATCTTCTAAGTCTAGCACTATACCGTCTTCTTTTCCATATAATCCCTAAAAATTRGCTTGGGGTTAAGTTATAATGAGCAATTGATTCTAGTTGTCAGATGATTTCCTATTCAATTAGTGATACAATTATTCATCCATTGACATTTTAAATCAGTGCTAGAAATACAGTACTTACCCGCTTATAAAGAATCTGYAATTTAAGAACCTGTTAGCTTAAAAATATCAATTTAGACCCCATTTACATAACAACCTATTCCAAGCCTAAAATTTGAAAGAGGTTCGTATAGAAAGGTTCTTATAGAGATTAACCTCAAAAATCTTCATGTTAAAAAACATGCTCAAACTGTATTTAACTTGAACATGTATACACTTCTAAATTTGGTTTATAAAACTCATTAATATTCATAAGGCAAAACACAATAGAAATCATAGCCCATGAAGAGAGTTGTATATTACATACAGATTTCTTGTTCATTTGCATAAACTTTAACTCTGATTTTCTCGGTCAGATTGATTTTTTTTTCAAAAGTTTCTTTAAAACCTGAGCTAGTTTACCTCAACGTTTCATAAGTAATATACAATATTCGCGGGCGATCTGTATGAGGTTTAAAACAGCTCGCTTTCAGCTCGCTGTTTTAWATCCTCATACAGATCGCCCGCTCATATTGTATATATTACATAAATAATGTTTGAAAACATTGTAAATTTTCATTACATAGAACCTATACTTGTAAGAACCTGCGTAGCCGAAAATTCCACTAAACACTATTTACATAAGAAACAGTTTAGGCTAAATTAAGAAAAAAATGGGTTCTTATATATTTAGCGGGTTTAGTACTGTAGTAATTCGACAATCTTTCCCGATAACTTCATGTGCAAAAAATAACAGAAGAAAAAGGAAAATGAAGAAGAAAATGAAGAAGAAGGAGAAGATATTTTTATAGGAGATTTTATAGTTAGTACAAGATAGTGCTAGTTGTTTTTATAGTATCGAGAGCGCTGCTGTAGAACAAATTCATAAGAACACGAAAGTATTATCATAATACTACATTTACCTACTGGGAGTCTGCAGTGGCGAAGGACTTGTTTAATTGACAACTGACAAACGAGAGGCAGTTTACCAGACAATATGAAAAATAGTCTGGATTTCAACTGATAACCGAGATAATTGCGACCACCTCAACCAGTCCCTCCTCGCATTATACAAATAATTAAACAAAGCCTTTAATTTCATAAAAAGATAATAAATTTTAACTTATCTAGAAACTGACAAATGACGTTGGAATAGCTCCCAGTAATCCAGAGAATCTCGCTATAAAAAGAAGTTACTATGAGATACTGTTTCAGAATTTATCGTTGGGACGAGCTGAGGGATCAAACGCGAATTCATTTTGTTTTGCTCTTGTTGCTGTCATTGGTGATCAAGGTATGCATGAAATTCATTTGTGGCATCAAAAGAAGCCTTTTTGTAATAGGTGCGCATCTAACAATCTTGTCACTTCGGGAAAACCATTCCAGAACAAAGCCTACAACACCCAGTTGTTTTCAGTCAACAGCCGACAAAGGCTGGTCGATTCAAAATTGCACGAGTTCTGTTTTGCTATGTAATTTATTAATCTAGGTATTCTTAAAGTGCTATGATCCACCAGCATTCAATGCGGTCGTGTTTTTTTTTTCTTTTCTTTTTGCATAAATGGAAAATGACAAAGAGATTTTTGTTCAACATAGGCCGCCTTTTTTGAGATAGCAGTTTGCATTGCACTGCGGTCTAAGTTCAGTACAAATATCTTTTAATCCACATGCTGCCAAATATGGCGTTGCTTGTCGTGCTGAAGCTAGACCACAATACAATATGATTTTGTATTTCAAGAAAGGTCTATTGGACCTTAAATTACCCTTAGTTTAAAACACCTCTTTGTTAGYTGCTACTGTTTAGTGTAAATTTAATTGATTTTTTTTTCTTTTTAAGCCCGTCTAAATGACCCGAACAAGCGTGTTCATTCTGCTGGTTGCTTTTAGTACGATTTTGAATTGGAACTCTAATCTGGTAGATGGACGAAGGTTGCCACCCCCTGCATACTGGAAAAAAATGAATGAGATAAGCAGGAATCCGGGGGATGCTAAAAGGGATGAAAACAGTGTTCAAGACATGAAGAGGGCATCGCTGGAAAAGATGATAAAGTAGTCATGATTGAATTAAAATCATTTTAACGAGCTAACTAGACAGTTGGATTGAATTGTATGAATTAGTTCTCAAAATAAAAAGTTGTCTTAAATGTACATATTGATTTCACGAGCATGGTAAGCGACAGAAAGTTGAATATACATTATTTCCAAACTCACTCACTCCGATTTGTTTTGAACCAAAAAAAATTTCGGGTGGGGGGGAGGGTACTCGACCCCGTTTTGGATAGGTACGTGCCGCCAGCGGTCTAAAACCCTTACCCTGTTTAAGACACTAGAAAGTAAAAATCCATACCCTGTTCTGATAACACGTTCATCCTGGTACAGTGAAACTGTATTTCTACTATTTCGACGGTATTTCTTATGAAAATATTACCCTGTCCAAGACATACAAAAAACAATTTTCTCGGTCGATCTCTTATCAAATTGTAGAGCCTGYTTAAGACAATTTCGGGTGAAATGTATACTCTGTTTAAGAAAGCAAGGCCAAAAACCATACCCTGGCCAGCGGCACGTCCCCGTATAGCAAATATATGGGAGTTAAAAGAAGAAAGACGCGTTTTTGAGAACAATAAACAAAGACCACGAAATTTGAAGTTGTTCTGAATTTCATTAACAAATGTGGTAATTCATTGCATTTTTCACGATATATTCAGTCATTGACCATTAGATTTTAAATGATTTTAGTTTTAAGCCCATAGGAGACGAGACTGGGAAGAAATATTGACTTCTGATATTAAAACTGAGAAGGATAATAGCTATTTTATATGATAATCATAGATCTTTTAAAAGTCTTAGTCTCAAATTATGTCCCATATTCCCATATTATATAAGAACAATACCCAAGACAATAACTGTAATCATCCTTATTGACCTGTGCATTACTTTACAAATTGTTTTTCATTTCTATGCGGAAATATCTTCGGCCCGGGGTAGGGGGTAGGGGGACTCCCTAATAAAAAAAGGGCGGGCTTCCTCGTCTAAAATTCTGAAAATGACCCCTAAAGGGGACCTGTGTTGTGAGATTATGGGCGTGACAGTGCTGAAATTTCACCCCTAAGAGGGACCAATCAATAATCGGTCATTTTGTTTTGGAGTTCCCGATTATATTTGTGCTTTTGCACAAACATCAAACGCCGTCGTCTCGTATTGAGTTTATGACGACGTTGCGGTTGTTGTTCATCTGATAATGACGGCTTAGGGTCGTCGTATACCCTAAAAGGGACCACAAATCTCAGTCGGTGGGAATTCTCGTCATTATCACCCAAAGCGGGACCAAAACACTGATTTCAAACCTTGAAAATGACGACGAGGACCCCCGCCCTTTTTTATCAGGGAGTCCCTGGCCCCGGGATCTTCGGCTGCATTGTAGATTTGAGTGATTCTTCGAAGAGAGTTTCTTTCTATAAAATTAAGTTTCTTCGATCTTTTTCCATGAATAAAAGAGGAGCAAGTCAATCTAAGAAAATTAAACTTGATGCAGACGAGGTTCAGCATTGACTCACGTTGTAGCCGCAAGCATGTGAGAAAAAAATGTTATTTTTACAGCCTGCCTTTTTCTGATATCGATTATTTTTTCTTTCTTCACGCTCTTTCAACATGAAATGGGGTGAATTTCGTTTAACAGAGTGTTCAGGTACATACATTGTAAAAACATGAATTGTTGCCMTACTGTTGCTGGGATACGGCGCTTATCAGTCAATCAGAATGTAGGAAAATTAAATTGTATACTTTKCTTTGAAAAAGCCTTAAAAACTCTTGATTCGTTTCAGAAAAATTGATGTCATGCTATTGTGACATCACAGGTGTTACAGACTTGTTTCCACCCTTCCTTACATTGCACGATAACATAGTGGATGCTCAAAGTCCTTAAGGACGGGAGTAACCACAAAATGCTGAGTTCTTCATTCCTGGTATTTCTGCTGACTGCTAAATTGAACAACGTGGCATCAATGAATTGTCCCCCCGGCGAATTCAAAAATTCATGTACCGTAAAATTTCACGAGACAGAAAGCTGATCAAACATTATTTTCAATCTCATTCATTGAAATTGATTTTTTTTCTCTTATCATAAATAATAATCAATAATAATAATTATGGGTTGGCACTCAGATGTTTTTGGTACAAACTAAAAATGCATGCTTGGAGGGCTTGAATTTATTCTCGAGCAGGGAAAGTTACACTGTATCAGTGTACGTCTAAGAGTAAATTGTTCAGTTCAATATGTAAATGTCATGGAATATCAGAATATCCGACAGTATACCTTTGTACGTAAGGTATCATGGAATGTCAGATATATACCGTATACTCGCGTGCTAAACGTGCCACGGAATATCAAATACCGTATACTCGTGTGCTTAACGTGCCAGGGAATATCAAATACCGTATACTCGTGTGCTAAACGTGCCACGGAATATCAAATACCGTATACTCGTGTGCTTAACGTGCCAGGGAATATCAAATACCACAACGTACCATATTCTCCCAACCTGCAGTGAGAACGCGACCTCTCACATGCAAAGCCGTATATACTCCCGTTCGTCCTGTCCTTTTGCTATTGAAATGTCGGTACAGGTGCAGCTCTTCCGAACTGGTCTACAATTTTTCAAATGGTTTGTATTTTAATGAATTATATATTTTGATGAATAACACTGTGAATAAATTTAGACATGCATGAAGTCATTGTTTACATTACAAGTCGTTTTGAGTTTTTTTAGGATTTTATTTTAGGAATTTGAAACCAGACTTATGGATTTTCTGAATTTATATTTTAATAATTAAACTATTTTCGATAAATGACATTATAAATAGAGGATATAACAAGTTCATTTTCTGCATTACAAAGTTTTTTTTAGTAATGATTCTGATTTTATCAGATTTGTTTCTAAGACGAGTTTGCTATACTTTAATTTTATACATCTTATATATTTACATTATTATATAATGACGCTGATTTTTGCAACTATCAGATTCGTCCCTAAGACGAGTTCTATATACTTTTATAATT